CCCTTCTTGAGAGCACGGAGGCAGAAAGGGATCTTGGAGTCATCATAGACTCCAAGATGAACATGGGCCGACAATGCAAGGTCACGGTCAGCAGGGCTAACCAGACCTTATCGTGCATCCACAGGTGCATCTCGAGTAGGGCCAAGGAGGTGATCCTCCTCCTCTATATGACACTGGTAAGGCCACAGCTGGAGTACTGTGTCCAGTTCTGGGCAGCCCACTTCAAGAGGGATGTGGACAACATGGAGAGGGTCCACAGGAGGGCCACCCGCATGATCCAGGGACAGCAGGGCAGACCCTACAATGAGAGGCTACGGGACCTGAACCTGTTCAGCCTTCACGAGAGAAGGCTGAGGGGGGACCTTGTGACCATCTATAAACTCACTAGGGGGGACCAAAGGGTTTGGGGGAGACCTTGTTTCCCCTAGCGCCCCCCGGGATAACAAGGAATAACGGCCACAAGTTGTTGGAGAGTAGGTTTAGATTAGACATCCGTAAGAACTACTTCACAGTTAGGGCGGCTAGGATCTGGAACCAACTTCCAAGGGAAGTGGTGCTGGCTCCTACCCTGGGGGTCTTTAAGAAGCAGCTCGATGCCTACCTGGCTGGGGTCACTTGAGCCCAGTTTCTCTCCTGCCCAGGCAGGGGGTCGGACTTGAAGATCTACAAGGTCCCTTCTGACCCTACTTCTATGATTCTATGAATAGCCCCATGAGCTCTCATTCGATAAAAGACACAAATGCAAATCATACTACTGGCTTTATTATTAGCAATAATTGTATTGAGGGAAGGACCTGACACTTCAGTCTTGGCCCTTTTGTGATCTGTAACTATACAGACGTGGAACCAAAATACTGGGCTATGCCTCAAAGCTTTTGGTAATTATTCCCATGCTTAAGTACTTTGCTGAGTAGGGATGGATTGCAGGGGTTTGCTCTATGGAAAACAGAAACAGGATTTCCCTGGGGAGGTTGCTCAGTTTGTCCCATGTGCTATTGTTTCTCAGTCCTTCCAGGCAAAAGTGGGTTGTGATTGCTAGTATTTGTCCTCCTCCCTGCCAGCTAACCTAGTTCTCACTCAGTTTAGCTCTCTAGTTGTGGAGTGTATTTTTGGCACTTTCTCAAGTCTTTCCAAGGTGTCCTATGGTGCAGTGACATGCATATTTTACTAATACTGGTCTGCATTGGACCTGGAGACATTGGTCACTGCTTCAGTCAAGAGCCTTATGTGCAATTCCTCCACTCTCTTTCAGTCTCTTTTCCACTCTCACTTTGTTTCATCTCTAATTGTTCCTATTTGGGTGAGTTTGCATCACTAATGACAAATGCCAGGAGCATTACACAAGATCTATCTCAGCAGTAAATGAGATGGGGCTTGTATTTCTCATGAGACACAGTGGAGGTGAAGATCAGAGAGGGACTTCCCTTTGGGGAACATTTAGAGCAGTCAGCCACAGAAATGTGTCATGACACCATCCAGAAAGTAATTTGCCATATTCCTAATGCACTGAGCTGTACCAATGAAGCGACAGTCCTGGCACTGCTCAGGGCAAACAGTTGTGTTGCTATAGCCAAATTGAGTGCCACCCTAACGGTCAGCACAGCAAGCCAGCAGAGAGATTCCTCATCAGACCTGTTCCAAATGCCCAGTAAAATAAGTGGAAGAACTCACTTCAGTGGGCTTTGGGTCACGCTCATGAAGTAGAAGGAAAAACAATGATGCTTCAGCGCTTTACTAAAGTGTGGGCTCTCCTGGGTTAGTTACTGGATTCAAGGCGCATCTACATGTGCCCCTATGGTGTCGTTGTTAGGGAAGTACTAAATGACAGTGCAGTAACATCCCGTACTGCGCTGTGCCAGCAGCGCATGGTTATTTTTAGCCGCTACATTGCCGTAGCAACATGCTATAGCGAGGAAGTGCATTGCTATGGCAACGTAGCTGCAGAGTCACGGTTTGTACCCACTGATGCTACATCGCTGTAGTGCATTGCTACGGCGACATAGCATCTCGTATAGATGTGCCCACGGTGTGGTACCAATGCCCTGCTTTTCCCCTGTGCAAAGCAGTTCATAAACTTGGAATGAGGGATTCTGTGGTGTCTGTGGGGACAAATCCTTCCCCCAGATCAAAGAGCATGATGGGAACAACTCCCTGGTGCCTCCTGCACACACTTG